TAACGTGTACGTTCCCTTGGAACTGGAATCATGGCGGAATTTCATGTGAAGTCCACTTCGCAGAGCACTTACGGTCGAATAAGACAACGCGTGAATGCTGCCTGAACAAGAGACCTCCTTACTGAAGGGAAAGTGTTTGACTGGTGTCACTATCTCGCGAACGCGCCAGCGGATCTCCACCAAATTCGGGGGATCCCTTCAGCTCGAGGAGCCCTCTTGAACGCCACCCTCCGCGTGTCGGTAGCCCCCCGGGATCGCTAGATTGGTCAGCGCCGGACCGCGAATTTAACCACCGTAACTCCCGAACCCCGGGGGCTATCCACGCGGGGGTGGTCTCATTCGAAAGAGGGCCTCGAGATGTACACTCGATTCGGCGTTCGAGAAGGTTCCTCGAGCTGGAGGGTGTGAATTTGGAGTGGATCCGCCGCACCATTACAGAGATATGGCCGTTCAAAGTTTTAATGGTTTTCCATAGACTTAAGCTTTAAAGCGTTTCATCCAGGTCGCCAAAAAAAAAAAATCATATCGGCGGCATATTCGCCGATACCGATATATCGGGCGACAAGCTCATATCGGCCGATAAAATCGGCAAGCGATATATCGGTCGGGCTCTAATGTGAACCTGAATGAAATGTGAGTGGACAAATGCAAACATACCTGTATAAATGTAAATGAAGCTGATACAGATGGTTTTAAACACACTGTAATGTCCTGATTTTTATTTTTGAAGCTGAAAGTTGTCGCTGTTGATGGAAATCTTGAGGTGATTCACCAAAACAGCGTCCAGTTCGACAGCGAGCTGCCCGAGTTCAGGTACAATATCATATTATAATATTATATTTACATTGCACAGGGTTCCCACACCTTTTGGTCAAGTAATTTCAATGATTTTTGAATAAGGAGTTATGTTTAATAATTCATGAAGAGCAATATCTGGCCCATAAATTATTTTAGCGCAAGAAAAAAGGAAATGTATATTCATTATACACGATATTTTGAATAAAATTATTTTTTTTTTTTAAATATACAAAAATGGCAAAAATTAATTCACTAATACCGATATTTTAATATATTTGTATAAATACAATTTATTTGATATGATTATATTGAATGGGATTCCCACACTTTTTAGTTAAGGAATTCTCATGATTTCTGGATAATGAATTATTATTAATGACTCACGAAGATCAATTTCTAGCCAATAAAGCATTTTTAGGGCTGAGCATGACTAGAAAAACGTATATTCGTTGATTGACTTTGTTTCAAATTGTTTTCCAGACCTGGAGTTCACAGTTGTAATATTCTCTAATTATCATTTCATTTGTCAATGGGAATCCTGGTTGTGTTTTTGGGCAGGACTCATGGAGGAGTTCATATCCACGAAGATAAACTGACGGTCACGTCTCCAGCGCTCATGTGGGTGAAGGTAAAGCTCATTCATCTCATCAGTTCTCTCATAATTCACCATACCTGTAGAAAAAAACACCCGTTAAGACTAGATATGTATATAAAGTGGCTGTGCATAGTGTCTAATGTATAATGATTCCTGTTTATAAAATGGAAATTATATGAGTTCATATCTTTATTAATTAAGCAGTCTTGGTGCTGTTAATGGGATTTATGAATGTGTCTGACTGCAGGCGCTGGATGTTCTTCTGGAGAAAATGAGAAACACTGGTTTTGATTTCTCTCGGGTCAAAGCCATCTCAGGCAGTGGACAGGTGCTTTTAGCATGTATTTATTATTATTTATGTATTAGCATATGCTCTTTGACTGTCTGAAATGAATTGTGGTTTGTGTTGATTTAAACATTTTTTTTTTTTTGTTTTGGAACAGTATTTTTTAAATGTGAATTTTGAGCATTTATTTTCTGAGGAATTTTTTAGTGGATTATTTTTAAACCTGGTAAAATGTGTAAAATGGAGATGTTATTACTTGTCTGTTTGATAGCTGAGAGTATAATCAAATTCACCAAAATGTGTATTAAATTTACATTTATGGGGAGATGGTTGTTTAATTTAATTTAGTTAAAAGTTAATATATATATATATAATGTATATGGGTCAAAGACGAAAAAGGGTTTAAGCATAAAAACAATGTGTAATACTGCTTTAATTTGTTGTTGTTTTTCCCAATTGTTTTAAAAAGTTTTCTGTTTAATTTAATTGCAATTTTGTTTTTGTTTTTCTGAGCAAAAAATAAATATCATACATTTTTCCCTGATTTACAGAAGAGAGCCACTAAAATATCATTCAGTGTAGCAATCATGTCAGGCATATTTACAACAAAAATCAATTTATGACATATTAAAAGACTAATTACTTTCACCCCAAATACTAATTAGTTGTAATTTTACACTTTTAAAATGTGCCACGATCCTAGGTTTTGCCCATTTGTCAGTAAGACTTTTTACTCATTTAAAACACCATCAAATTTAATATGCTCCCTTATTCTTTTATATATTTTAATATGTACACGTCAGAAATTAAGCATGTTGTTTGAATTTTTACATAAATATTGTGTTACACTGAATGACAATGTAACATTATTTCAACCAAATTTTGACA